GGTCAAGTATTGTCAAATCGTCAAATATTTTACAGAACTAATTTATTATAACAGTAACAACAGTAATACAAAAGAAAAAGACTTTATGGTCTGCAGTAGGCTAGGCCTTAGATAAATACTTATGTCTAACTACAAAAAGTAAGCTCTTAACTCAGTTATTTTAACTCAGACAAATATGAAACACAATGAAATGAAGATCTAAAAAATGAAAGAATGGCACCATGATGCAATCACAAAGGTAGGTCACTGCCTATATCAGAGCATTCTTGTTAGGATAACTGACGGTGATCAAATAATAGCTGACCAGCTTGCCAAACCTAAATTAGCATGTGAAACATTTGACCAACAGAGACTTGGCCGAGACCCATTAGTTTTAATTTTGGGTGTGGTAATTACAAACACTCTCATTCAAAAATATTTACTACTGAACAAAACACCTGAATCCTGACTCCACTCACACTTCCACCCAAATCCTGCAAATATTTAAGTACTTGTATAACTTTGACTTCATCAGGTCTACCCACAGGAATTAAGTTATGCATGTACTTAAGCGTTAGCAGGATTGGGGCCTTCCATTATCTTTACCACCGTTGCAGCTGTCCAAATGCTGGAATAAATTTTCTAGAACACACATGCCTTTAAGTACTTGCAAAGAGCAGGGCTGAAATACTGGTGCCATTGAAGACAATGTCAAGTCTTCCATTGACTGTAATGGGGCCAAGATTTCAGCCTCAGTTTGGTCCCAGTCTTACAAGCACGATCAAATCATGTTATTATAGTATCCAAATATTGTTAAGTTTAGGGCCCTAAGAAAAGTCATCATTAGGGCCTGATCCAAAGCCCAGTGAAGGCTGCTGAAGACTCATATTAACTTCAGTGGGCGTAATCTACTATGGTGTATGATGCAGATGCGTTGTAGGGAGCAGATCTTTAAAGCTTAAACCCCTCCCTAGTCTTCTTTATCACAAAATAGTCACTAGAACAATATGGACTGTCCAGTAACTGAGAAGCAGGTTGGTCAGTAAAGATGCCCTAGTGCATAGTACAGGAATGATTCCATCTATTTTGTCAGAAATTTGGGTTAAGAACTGCTCCACATCTGTGCAACAGCAAGTTAAACTGCTTGCTTATTCTGAATGGGCGCCGTTTCACTTGGATTTCAGGAGCAGCAGCATGAATGGCCTTGAACGAGCCTACAATCTGCTAGCAGCATTATCAGAATGTTTTGAAAACACTACAAGTAGAGGAAGGGTTACCATGTAGAATGATATTATAAACAGAATTGGGTTAGCCATGTTCTCTTTAGCTCTGAAGTGACTCTTTGATATTTTTCTTGATACTTTGCAGCATCAAGAATCCACATTCATTCTTACTGCCAAGATGGACTTCAGCTCATCAGTTCACATCGTGTCATGGTTTCAAAAATAAGGATAGCACCCTCGACCGGTCCTCAGCATTAGACTGTGTCATTAGTTGACAAGCTATTTGGGACTATTAACATCACCTAAAAATGCTATCTGCTTTGAAGTGCAACAATGCGTTTGCCTTATACTCAAGAAAAAGTCTCTGCTGCCCAATCAAGCAATGACCTCCGAGAGAGAGTTTGGTATCAAGCTCTAAAGACCTATGGCCCTGATACTACAATTGGATCCAAAACAGCAGACCATGTGCCTATGGGGAGGCCCACTGAAGTGGATGCAAGGATCTGCATAGGATCCAGGTCCAATTGCAGGATAGGGACCTTAATTTTCAGGCAGCTTCACTTCAGGGAATACTCCATTACCCAGTATCAAAGAGCTTGGATCACAGAAGCTGAAGGTGGAAGCCAAAAGGCCAGGCCACAAGAATCTTGTGGTAGGAAGGAAAGTCAGCCTCAAGTAAACTAAAATGTTTGCAATTAAACCACATAAATTTCCCAGTAGAAGTGTGCTTCTAACTTTAAATCAGTTATTAGGAGTTAACTGGGCAGTTGCTTACAATGGTCAACATCGGTGTGTCTTGAAGTTATTTTTCTAACTTCAGGAAAAATCCTGAAGCTGGGCTTGAAAGCAGTTTAACAGCTGAAGTGCAGAGGGGCAGCCTAATTTTTACAAGTCCTTGTCTTGTTTATAACCCCGTAAATGTAGCATTATACAATTGCTTGCAGTAAATCAGAGAGATGCAATTTGAACAAGGAATATTGTTTTTTCAGCTTATTAACTATTTGTTAGTCTCTACGGTGCCACAAGTACTCCTTTTCTTTTTTCCTTTTTGTGTTTTATTTATTTTGTTATTGTAAGAACCCTAGCGGTCCAGCGAGATCATCAATTGTATGACCCCTCATCTAAAACCTAGGCTAATAGATCATGTGCATTGACAATTATCCACATAAGACAAACAATGTCTCCCCACCTATATCTTATCAATAGCCCTGACAGTAAGCTCCAAAACGTCTCAGTTACATTATTCTTAGTTTTATCTGAGAAAAGTTTTTAAAGTATTTATCTGAGAATAAACAGCAAAGACTTATCTTCACTTGTCCTGGGAGACCAGGGATGGCGGGGAGGGTGAGAGAATCAGCAGAGTTTAGAGCATTAGATTCCATCTAAATCCTGTTCTATGTAACAACCTGGCATCTTTAACCCACCCCACACTAGGCTGATGCTTTTCAGCTAGGGGCAGTGGACCCTTTTCTCCAGGAAAAAGGTCAGCCACATAATAAACACTGTCACTATAGCTTAAGGGTGCACAGCACAGAGTTCTAAATTAAAGAGAGGCACATCATGTTCAAATTAAAGCACCACCCCCAACCAAAATTTTTTTGACACACCTGATTTTCAAACTTGATCCCCAAACCTACAATCCTGAGGTTGTGCAGACTGACCCATGCAGAGTTCTATTAAAGTCCATGGGGCTCCATGTGGGGCAAAGGGCCATCCACATGTTCCTTATTGAAGGATCAGGGCTTCGGACAGCAGTTCTTATGCATACCACATAAATAAAAGACTGCCTGTCTATCACTTCAGTAATGCAAGGCTACTTTTATGGGAGTAAAAAGAAAGAGCTACTCCTACGGGTGGGTGGGGTGCAGAATACTCCTGCAGCAGATGTATATATACGTTCTAGGACACTGGATCAGATCCCTGACTCACACAAATACTTGCCATTGATTTCAGTTGTGGGTACTTACATGTGGTGAAGTTACATATATTCTTAGGGCCTGACCCTGAACACGCTTGGTAACTTTTTCCATTGCGAAAGACTAAGTGAACAGCCAGAGCGTTCCAAGAAAGGGATTACATAATTAACGTTGCCGGCTAGGCAAAGCTTAAAACAGTGTGAGCCTGGAACAGACCCCCTTAAAAAAGGCTCAGACTTTGAAAGCGCAGTACAAAACTCTCAGCACATCTGGATTTAGATGCTTCTGCCAGGGCCTAGCACAAAAAATATCTGGGGGGTGGGTATGTAGGGTAAAAGGAGGCATCATTCATTCCTTAGTGTTCACCTAACAACAATAAATGCCTGAAAGTTCAACAAGCCATAAAACAGTCGGTTTAGAGCAAGTTTAGGAGAAAGGTGCTTGCCAGTAATGTCCATCACCCCTAGCTTCAATAACTCCTCATGGACACTCAGCCCCCTACGAAACATACCTGAGCCCAACGTCAGCAGGAAAAGCAGCGGGATAACATGTTGGCTAAGCAGCAGCTCCATCTCTGCAGCAACTGGGGAGTTTCCTGACTGAAAATCATATGACTCGGGTCTCCAGTCAGCTGCGTAGTGAAAAGGGAAGTGCTGGCTCTCTGGTTATAAAGGGAGCCGGTTACTGCCCCAGGGCGCCCTCTCTCCTTCCCTGCATGGTAAATACAACAGATATCTGTGCTGCAGTCAAGATGCCAGTTACACTTAACATGGTTCTATCTGCGCGGCTAGATTTAGCTGCCTTGCCAACCTGGCTGATTTCCCCATGTTATGCTACAGAATTTATTGGGCTTGTCTACTTGAGAACTACTGGTTTTTCTGATGCTGGACACTAAATCCAGCCTGTGAGATGAGGAAAGGAATTGTGTATAAAATCACCAAGTAATTTGTGTGTGCTAAAAGGATTTACAATCATTCTATTTCCACAACTTTTCTAGTGATTTAGGTTTTCCAAATTCATTCTTCCTGGAGACATAATCCTAAGGAAATATTTCTCTCTCTCTCTCTTCTCTCTCTTTCAATGCCCATATATCTCAGATTCTCATTTCATGCTATTCAGATTTGACACTTTCTAGAACTACTTGCTCTTCTCTTGCAGACCCAAACCAAAAGCATTTATGTACAAGAGTAATTTTTCTCATGTGAGCAATCCCACTGAAGTTAATGAGGCTCCACATATACATAGGGCTCTACTGTGTAAATCGGACTGCAGTATCATGGATTTAAGATGTTAATATCAGTTCTCCTAAGAACATAGGAGCAGAATTGTTTTACATGATTAACTTTACATGGGATGTGTTGGGGGGATAAAGGTGTGGGGGACAGAGAGTTTAAGTGATAATTAAGGCTTTGGTCCTGCATCTGGCTCCACCCAGCTCTATTTTAATACCCATGCATAGCCAGCTGCAGCAGCAGGGTCTAAAACAGACACTCCTCTGTGCCAAGGTGGTAATATTTTTATTGGACCAACTTCTGTTGATGAGAGAGACAAGCTTTCGAGGCACACAGAGCTCGTCTTCAGATGGCTCCTCAGTGCCCAAATTCTCATGAATGTCACTATGAAAAAGAGGAAGTAGGGAACAATATTGGAAAGGTGGGCCCTGATCCTGTGCTGAGCTCCGTAGTCGTCAAAATAAATACTACGGTAAAACCAAAGTCGATAAAACTCACAATAGTTACTGAAGATCAAGATGAACACACTTGTGATCCAGTGAGTGACAATCCAGTCATTCCCTGCGGCAGCGTGCACTGTTCTCGGGCTGCAGTTCGCCGCTGCTGCCGACAGGTGGCGTCTGAGTGATGCCTCTCTTGTCCCGCGTGGGGCACCGTAGCACCCCCTTCCCTTCTCCGGCCTCCGTGTCCAAGATGGCGGTGGCCGGTGGAGGGGGCCCCGTGCGGCTCCGGCTGCTCTTCGACTACCCACCGCCGGGAAGCCCGGGATGTTCGCTGTGCTGGCTGCTGCTGGAGCCCAGCCACGTGCGCCTGGTCACCGACCTCATCAGCCTTATCCGGGAAAAGTTCGGCTTCAGCCGCCGGGCTCAGCTCAGCCTCTTCCTGGAGGGGGCGCTGCTGCCGCCGACCGAGAGCGCGCGCCTGGTGCGGGACAACGACTCCCTCAGGTATCGGGGACGGGAGCGCGCGCCTCAGGTAGCGGGGGCGGGAAGGGGGCGCGAGACTCCCTCAGGCGGCGGCGGCGGCGACGGCGGCGGGGGGGGCGACTCCCTCAGGTAGCGGCGGCGGCGGCGGCGGCGGGGGGGGGGGCGCGACTCCCTCAGGCAGCAGCAGCAGCAGCAGCGGCGGCGGCGGCGGCGGGGGGGGCGCGAGACTCCCTCAGGCGGCGGGGGGGGGGGGGCGCGACTCCCTCAGGTAGCGGGGGCGGGGAGGGCGCGAGACTCCCTCAGGCGGCGGCGGCGGCGGCGGCGGGGGGGCGACTCCCTCAGGCGGCGGGGGAAGGGAAGGGCAGCGAATCTTGGTGGGGGCACCTCTGGCCAGGGTTCAGTTGCCCCCGTGGGAGATAGACGCTCCTGACGTTTCTGCCTAGGATCCCTTGGCCCAAGGTGGTGCTTTCGTCTGGGACTGAAAAATGGAGTCATAAGAGAGGGTTTTTTTTATTAATTATTATTATTATTATTATTAGGAAACTCGGCCATTCCCCACGTGGCTCGAGGAGCGTGGGCCTCGAGGCTCAAATCTCCGCTTTCCAGCGAGGCCGGCCAGGAGCCGTCTCTCTGCACCTCCTCCGTTCCCTGCAGTGTTTCTTTCCTGTAGGGTTGGCAGTTTTGCTTGGATGTATTCCTGGAGATTTCATCACATGACATAATCTTTAATTAAAGATTAATCTTTAATGCCCAGCGATTCCAGGCCAATCCTGGAGGGTTCGCAACTCTACTTTCATGGCTGCCCCACTCCGCTCTTGCTGAGTGGTGGGAAAACCTGTTTCTGAAAATAGTTAGCTAACACGATTTGGAACACCCTCTTCCCCTTGTGCAGATGCCTTTTAATACCTTTAAAATCATGTCAATAGGTCATATTGTAGCCTAGGTTCAACTCTCTTTGAAAAGCATCTTTATTGTTGCCTGGACATACCCTTAAAATCTTGAGATTTTGAAGGCAGGCCTGCAATGTCCCACAAAGCCTGTGTGGTTAGATGTTGACAGATATTTGGCTGCGTGTGTGTGTGAGTTCCCTCTGTGTGCTGCCCCAGCCCTGTGCAGACAGCTGGCACGACAAACCTTGTGCGAACCGCCCAATGCCCACAAGATTCGTTAAGGGACAAAGGCACCCAGCCAGGTTTATTGTTGTCAAAGCACGGTACTAGTATCCCGCAGACTCTACCGGAACACTAAATACATGTATGCCTGTAACAGTGGACCAGCTCAGTGAATGGTGGGACTTTCCGTTCCTTTCTAGGCTAGACAAAGATACTTCCTCTGAGTTACATCTTTATATTCTGATACAAACAAGTTAGTACTGCCCATTTGACTTAGTTAGTTATGGCTCCCTGACGTGGGTAGTTATCACACATCACCTTGTACACATTGGTTGGATCAAAACGTTTTTATTACGTACTCTCTTCCTGACCTTATCTTTTAGGAGGGGTCAGTGTGTTCCTGTTATCCTTGGGGAATGTTTTTGTAGCATTCCTGATATCAGGATGTTCTGGTACCACTGATATTGGGATGTGTTTGCGTGAGTACTTTGTGACTAGCACTTCTTAGGAATGTGTATTTCTGCAATATCAGCCCTGTTTTTGTCAGATTTTGTGAGCAGGTTTTGTCTCATAGCAGGTCTTTGATACAAGGGCTTATGTCTCAGGGCTCTCTTCCTACTACAGCCTGTGCCTCAGACCAAACACCTAAAGTGTGTTTGTGTGGCTAGAGGAAATCTGGGGTGCAAGACAAGGCTTCTTAGGTACTGGAGGAAAGCATGTTCCCTGCAGACTTCCCACTGAGTTCTACTCCATGGCATCTGCACTGGCATGTGGTCCCCTCAAGCAACAGGGACATGCTGCAGTGTGTGCACACTGTCTGTGCCCTTCCCCCCCACCAGTGAGCATAGGGGGATTTTAGGCTGTTCGATGGCAGCTAGTTTAGTCCCTGGTGGCATAATTTGTTGGGAGATTTATAGGTGCATCTCCTCATCTACTAAGGTAATATTCCTTAGCTGCTAAGTGAATAGCTGTGACATCCTCATTTCTAAAAGACAATAATCTAATAACTATTTCAAACTCAATATGTAGGAAGGAATATTAATTTGCTAGTTATACTGAATGCTGGTTTCTCTGTCTTTTTCAGAGTTAAATTGGAAGAGGTAGTTGCAGATATTTGTGATGAGATGGGTAACGGTATCACTTATTCATCAAGAAAAGAGAGAAAAAGGCACAGGCAAAAGTTGGAAGAGGAGGGGGAGTCTAAAAGTGAAGATGACAGACACAGAAGGAAAAAGAAGAAGAAGAAACAGAACTCTGAACATCTTTCTTATAAGAAAGAGGACTCTGTAAATGTTCAAGACTCTTGGAAAAAGTCCAAGAAAAGAAAAAGAAAAGAAGAGGTGAATGGAAGAAATGGTATCACAGGAGGCAAGGAGGACAGTGGTCTTGATGAGTCCAAAAAGCTTAAAAAAAAGTTGGAGGGGGAGAAAGAGCTGGAGCAAGAAAGAAAGGATGCTAAGCAGAGAAAGATAAGGGCAGTTAGAGGAAAGACTGTCTTAGAAAAGGCCAACAACAGTTTCCTTCTGAGTCCTAGTAAAAGTAGCACAGTAAAAAACATTGCAGCCCAGTCCAGCAAAAAAAGAGGGGGAATTTTAGATTGTGATTCCTCCAGCACATCATCTGACAGTGTAATGGATATGAAACAAAATAAATCCTCACATAAACCTGTGGCAGCAACCGTACACAGAGACAAATCCCAACTTGTTGCAAATTCTGCTATAAAAACTGTTACTGCTAGTAAAGTTACTGCCAAGTCTAAAGATGAAAATTCCCCTAAGACTGCAATTAGTAAAAAAGCTAAACCCCAGTCCTCGAGTTCAGATTCTGACTCTAGTATGGAAGAGGAGGAGCAAAGCAGTAACTCAAAGAGAAAATTGCTGCCTAAAAATCCACCAATTGTGAACATTATGCCAAAGTCCCCCAAGGCAAAGACATCCTCTTCAAAGTCTGATAGTTCAGATTCAGAGACATTTGTTATTAAAAAGCCCATAGCAAATGTTGGCTTCAATAAATCCGTAGTAAGAAATGGTGATAAACAGTTGCCAACTAGCAGTCAAGGACCAGCTGTAAATCCTAGCAGTTTTGGAAGGGGACTTGGAAGAGGAGAGGATAACTTCTTCTGGAGAGGAAATAGGGGCCGTGGGTGTCGTGGGATGATCCGGGGCCGGGGCCGGGGCCGGGGTCGAAGCCGAGGAGAAAGCAATAGCTTCTTCTTCAACTACGGTCGTGAAAGCCAGAAAGAGCAGCAGTTAAATGAAGCAGCAACAAACACTTCAGTTGTTATCCAGGTGGGTGACTATTTATGTCCTAATAACACATTTCTTTAAAGATTTTTTTTAAATTTATAGTTTTCTTACTAAAATTTTAGTAATTGAATATACAAAAACACAGTAATACCACTAGCTCTTATGTCATGCATCTCAACGCACTTAACAAAGAAGGTCGGTATTATTATGCCCATTTTACAGATAGGAAATTGAAGCACAGAGAAGAGAGGTGATTTGCCCAAGGTCACCCAACAGGCCAGTGCCAGGACTGGGAATAGAACTCAGGTCTTGTGAGGTCCATCTGAGTGCTCCACCCACCAGGGAACACTGCCTCTCACATCAAATGAGCATAAATGGTAAAAACAAAACAAAAAAAAATAAGAATAAGACCATTGTAAAGAATACAATTGTACTATTCATACAGGTAAGGCCAGCTAACTCACATCCTGAACAAGTGTTTGTAAAATACTGTTGTTTTACATTATACACATAGCTTGTGCTCTACCTTTTGGGTTGGATGCTGGTTTGTGTGATGGATTTTCTCAGAGTTTTTTCATACAGCATTAATATTGCTTTTGTTAATTAAGTAACTGAATCAATGGGCTTAATGTTTATTTCACAGAATCCAGTGGAAGTTCCAAAGAGGGAATATAGTGTACTACCTCTATTAGCTGCCCCTCCACAAGTAGGGGAAAAAATTGCCTTTAAGGTAAGGAAATCCTAAAATATATAGTGTTAGTCATATGGCTCAGATCTCTTTCAGATGTACTAGTATAATACATTTTGCAGGATATAACACAGCTACTTTAGCTGTGACATCCAAAAATTTTGCAGTGTTCAAACTTGCATTATTTAGTGACTTTTGCTCTAGAAGTATCAGACAATATGTTTGCATTTATCCTGATATGCAGTTAACCTTGGTTCCCCTAGCTTGTAAGTTAGATGAGGAAAAATGGGTCCTAATAGGATTGACATCACAACCTTTCCAGATGAACTATAAAGCTAGGTCTTCAACTATTAGCATAAGAACTGGGTATCCAAAGAACCCTTTTTCACCTTTGTCAGTGAATGACATTTTCGTCTAAATCTTTTTATAAGAAATCTGAAACTCTGACTGGTTCAAAGCCCTCTAGGCCTTCTGGTATGTCTTGTATTTGCAAGTAGCTCTAAAATCATTCATTCATCTCTCTAACCAAGTATTTTCTTGAATAAAAGAACCTGCTATAGTTTTGATTGTGTGTATATTTTCAAATTGTCTTACTCTAAAGACACAACTTGAAGGCAATCAGTTGATGCCTCTATTTTAGAAAGCTTTGGAACTGATGCATTTAAGTTTATTTTGTTTTTACTTAATAAAATGACAACATAAGCAAAGAAATGTCATATCTCCATCTCCCCCTCAATTTCAGTAGGAATTCCTAGACAAATCTGTATAATGGATCCTTCCCTCGGACCACTTGAGTCAAGCCTCAGTTAATCAAGCTGACTTGGAACCTTCCCAGAATGCCTCTCTTTTCCCTGGAAAAGCTGTTGTGATACAAACAACTCCTTAAAGACCACCCCAGAGAGAAGTGCTTCACACACACATAAACGAAGTCACTATGAAAATCCTCTTAAGTTACTGTTTCTCTCTGTATGATGTTTCTGTGAGATCATCACAAACCTTGCTATAAAAATGCTACTTCATTTCCCAAATCAAAAATAACTAAAGCAATCACTGGTGCTGCGGAAGCTGGAGTCACAGTGATCTCTTCTTGAAGCCCAAGCTGAATGGAAAGCCACTGGAGCAATCAGTTATGAAATACTAGCTGGGGCAAGCATTAGGGTCTAGGAGCAGAATGCATAGCTCTTATGCACTTCACCTCAGTGATAGGGCCCAGGCTGGATAGTAAGTGGCGTCAGCAAGGGCCAGAAGCAGGAGATATAATTTTTCATGTCTTTTAATGATTTATATTTTTCTTTTAACAGCTTTTGGAATTAACTGACAATTACACTCCTGAAGTATCTGACTACAAGGTATTTTTTCCAAAAATGCATGTATAATACTATAGTGGGTAAGACAAGATTTTGGGGGAGTCTTAGATATTTTATAATTCTGTGCATTGTATATTTCCCCCCCACTTCTCCTGTTACCATGCAGACTATTTCCAATATAAATAAAAAATAATTACAAAATACAAAACTATTCAAAGTATTAGTGTTGTAATTAGAAAAACACATGCAAACAATTCTGCTGATTTAAGAGCAAACAATTTAAAATGTGAGGAAATATTCCAAGCTTCTGGATGCAAAAGAACATTGAAAGACACGGCACATTTGTTTGAAGTTGTTAAGACATTTCATGGAATTATTAAAAATAAACCTTTGCAGCAGTTTCAAAGAAAACTTGGTTTATAGCTGACTGATTACTACATTAATCCGCAGTGACTGTGGCAATACAAGATTTGGGGTTTATTGGTATTACTAATTTCAGCTCTTTTAAAACTTTTTAAAGTTAATTGTTTAATACTTGAACAGATTTTTCAGAACTGGCCAAAAGACTTCTTCAAATAGAAATATGTGCTCTGGCTGTGTTCAAGCATATCCTTGTAATGCAATATGAAATACAGTGCTTGTCAAATTTGCTATGCTTCACCATAGGACCATTTTTGTTGTTTTTTGAAGGAGGGAAAAATAATCAGTTGGAATGCTGATAACAAACAGCTAGAGCTTGAGATTCTTTCCTCTTCGGCAGGCAAGTATATGTAACTCCAGAAGGCAGTATGTAAATATCTAAAGTCATTTCTGCTGCAGTGGTAAACATCTGTAAGACGATATATTACAATTTTTCAGATACATTTCTTCAGCATTACCTCAAACTTCATAAAATTTCCCGACAGATTAAAATATGTTAAATACAATAAATCCATGGTACTTGCTTGCTGTCTTGAAGTTGGTTGTACATATTGCCAAGCAGGTTTGGATACTCGAATGACTTGTCAGGTGTGGCATCATGCATACAAAGTTCACTTTGAGTTGTACTAGAAACTGAACAATGTCCCATTGGAATGGCACTGTATCATCTGAAAGATTAAAATGTTAAATGAAAATAAATGGAATAGACATATGCTTGTGAATGGAAGAAATTTTAGGGCCAAGTCCTTTGAAGTCAATAGGTTTGCCATTGACTTTACTTTGTAAGGACTTAGTCCTACACCAAATAATGGAGTGCACCTCAAATAATTGATTGAAATTCTGAATGCAAGTATAGTGGTTGCCATTTAACAACCAGCATTTATCAACAGCTGCCACACATCTGAGTTTGACATAGTTTTTCCTTATACTTAAATCAGGAGAGATTTGTGACTGAGTTGGCAAATGTTGACTTTTTACTGGATTTTACTGTGTGGTCTTAACTAGATACCTGTATTGTAATTTGGAAGGGGTTGAACTAGGTCACCTATCTCTGATACATATATACCAGTTATATGCAGTGTAGAATTAAACAGTGACAAATGGGTCCCTACCGCAAACAAATTAGGTTAATGAGTTGATACTGTATAGTGTGATACAGTGTAGTATAAACACAGAGTAGTGTATGGTCATTACTGCTCAACTGCTTCATTGAACCCCTGGGGAGTGAATGATTGTATCAATGTTTGTTGTAATGTGTATTGCTGATTAAATAAATGAACTTGACTAGTTTTTAAATATTATACAAATAATTACTTTTACATTTATATAAAACTAACAGGAAATCATGTTTTTTTCTTATTTAAGTGGTGAAAGAGCCAGGAAAGTTTGATCTGGTGTATGAGTCTGCAGATGGAGCTGAAGTGATAGAATATGCTGTTTCTCAGGATACAAAGGTGTGTTAATATGCTTTAAAGTGCTTGGCCTTGTGCTATGCACAGTTGAAATATTATCAGTTGTATGTGACACTTCATTGCCGGTAAAGAACTTACTTGTTTTAGTGAGATTTCTTATTGTCAATGCGTCTCAATGAAAATGAGTGAAAACAAAAAAGAAATAATTGCTTCTTTATAGTGATTGGTGTATATTTATAGCAATCATTACTTCAACATTATACCTTATTTAGTAGCTACACAGGTGTATAGATGTATATACACAATTCACTGAACAAAATTTTTTGAAGACTTTTTTTCTTAATGTAACAGAATTCAATATTATGTCTAGCATATTTCAGTTTTTACAAGTTTGTCTATTCATCTGGTATTTTACTCTCCCTACATGTGTGGATCTTTGCTGATGTCAGTGGAATTCTGTGTGTATTGGGAAAGCAGAAAAGCAGAGTAGGGATTCACCATACGGATCTCTGTACGATACAGTAGTTCTTGTTTAGTAATGTTCTTGTATAGATGAGCAGCTGATATGTATCTTCTTAGCACAAATATAGACAATAAAAAATTCTCATCTGTTTCTCTCCATGCTAAATATTTTACATGTTTGTTTCAGATAACTGAAAGCTGGGATGCACTGATTGAACCAAGACTGATTGTTGAACCTTCTCCTACTAATGAATCGACCACCGAGAACGTAAAACTCTAAGATGTGAACTCATTTTCCATATGTGTATATAGTTGTATGGACACACTGTTTTGTGAAGTACTTTCTTTTGGTTTTGAAGACAGCAAATGCACTGGATGTTTTTTAATAAATAATTTAAAAATGAAACTGTGTATAAGGAACTATAAATAAGTTTTTCAAAGGCAATTTTGGTGTATTTAATATAGAAAAGTACATTTGCTTCTCTTTTTAAAATTGTTTTTAATAAAACAGCAGTTTTTCTGCCAAACAGCCATGAGTTACCTATTTAGGAATTGCTTGCTCATGGATGTGAAATACAGGAATTCTTTTAAAAACATTAGCTCCAGTTAAGTTTATTCTCTGTAAGGCTATAGCAATATAACAACAATACAAAGATAACTTACTGTAAGGAGAACTTAAAACAACAACGTTTATAATTCATCACAAGTTCGATAGCTAACAACACACATACTCCACTTCTCAGTGTGCTATCTTCCTCCACTGCTGCAAGGCTTGGCATAAATGCTGTTTCTTGCAGTTCCATAGCACATTGCATCTGAACATCTCAAAGGGCTTCATACCCCTGAGAGGTAGGTAGGTATCCTCCCCTTGCAGATGGCAAAATTGAAAACCATATGTAAAGCAAGTGGCAGAACAAGGACTAGAACACTGGAGTCCAACACTTCTAGGCAGTTCCTATGTGTATTAAATTAATCTGTATGCACTTCTTTAAAAAACTGTTCTGATGACCTTTGTGTTGATCAGTTTCACTGTCCTGTGCCAAGTACCCTTTCTTTCCTCCTTAAATCCCACCTCGTTCAGTATCTTCTAGTAATACTTGGTTGTTGCTTTTTTCAGTATTATTGATATTGTGGTAGCACCTAGGAGGGCTGATTGTACATTGCTTAGCACAATGGCACATAGACACAAAGATGATCCTTGTCTCAAAGACCTCATAATCTTAAGTATAAGACATAAGAAAACAGCTAGATACAACAGACTCCTGAAATATTGTCTGTGTCATAGGCTTCTTATCTAGATTTGTACTTTATTTGGGTTAGGGAACTTGTCTTATCTATATTATAACATTGTGTAAATTTACAATATTCTTTAAGGGTTTTTTTTTTTTTACTGTGTAAATACAGGACCTACAAAAATATGTTAACATTCTACATGATCAGTTCAAATATTTTTGGTTATTTTTCATTTGGCATTGTTTTGTGTTGCAATATTAACTTTTTTTAAATTTAGAAAATGGGATAATGAATAAATGAAAAACTATATTTAGTTGAGAACTGAAACCATAAATAAAAAATACTAGTAAGATTTTTTTAGCCAAATAAGTTTTATCCCCAAAAGTTTGTGTTTTTAGGTAACTACTGATTTGTTTTTCATTTCTGCGAAAGAATTGCAAACAATTTATTTAAATGGAAACATTTTGCAATATCTTATAGCAGAAATGTCATCTGCTAACAGAGTAGTCCTGACATTTAATATGTATTTTGTGCAACAGACCCAAGATCCATATTCCCCATTCTACAGCTGAATGTGACACACAATGTATCATGAATAAAAATAGAAGTATAAGTAAGTACGTAGACAGAAGGTTTTTGAAGATACACCTTTACTAATTGTATTTGGCCTCTGGGTGGCAGTATTGCAGAATATTTCATTACTATAAGAGTCTTGTTTTTATAGTCCACCGAATCCCTCAACAAGCACAAATCAAGTCAGTTGGTATGAAACAATGTTGTTTGAATAGACTAAATTTCAATTAAGTGAATACAGAGTTTGTACAAAGTCCTATTATAGTTTTATTTTGACAGCTACTGAGGAAACATGTAATGTACCTAGATATTAAACACCTTGGATTATTATAGTTTTTAAGATTTCATTTTTTTTGCATCTGCAATTGCCTTGCATCTTGTATATCTCTAAAACTGACCAATGTAAATCAAAATATTCCAGCTTTACAAAATTCTGCCCACTTGGGAGTAGTATTTTGTTGACTAGCAAGTCAGATATCTGCCCTCTCCCCCGCCATTCAAAATCACATCAAAAGATGGTGACCAGATGGTGCGCCTGGGCTGATATTTTCAAAACCGTTTTTAAAGGTTGGCATGTAGTCAGTTACTAATTAATGTCACTTTTACATTCTTGCATGCACTGGTACAATACTACATTGTTTTTGATTGTAGACTATGGGGAAGTGGCGAAGTCTTATTTTGTATAATGCACAGAGTTTAGTAGAAGATTCCATTCTAAAACTTAATTTTTGGGACTAACAGTTTCCTCACACAACTTCAGAGTGGGGTAAGCTTAGAACAAAAGTATGGAGGAGTCTCAACTCCAGGCTGGATTAGCTGAAGTGAGAGAGAATTGATGGATGAATGCATATTTTTGAAAAGTTTGGAAAACAGTTTTTATGGTTTCCAAAAGCATTGCCAATTGAATAATTAAAATTCTTTTTGAAATTATTTTAATGGGATGTTGAAAAGACATAATTTGATGAAGTAACTTCTCATGCTAAACACTGAAATGGTTGGACTATACCCTTTTGGAGGGGAAACATAAGATAACCTTGAATAAAACAGACGTAATGGGATTTAAAGTGAAACTAAAGATTCTTAATTAATTTGACTGCCTCAAGACCACTCCTTGAGTGGTGGACCTGTAAGAAACCTCGCTAATTTAATTCTTGAATGACTTCTTTTAAATAACTGAATACTTGTTTCCCTTTCATAGGACTTAGTTAAGATCACTTATGTCTGCCCATATATAGGTTATCTATGATAAACCAAATAGGACTCTGACTCAAACAAAATCCCTCTGCCCAGCTGTAAACTGTCTTAGTCATCTAATATCTACTAAGGTTCAATTCATTAATGATTTGGAGGAATAATCTATTTTGGTCACAATTTACCTGGTGAAGAATGTTCCTACCAGAGGCAGACTCACTCTTAAAAGTGTAATAATCTGTGTTAAACTCTCCACAAGTGAGATATAACAGAAGAGATAGTAACTGAAATAGTCATTGCTTCCTTTTCTTTCTTTCTTTGTTTCATCAGTGATGAGTATTTTGCTTATCTTTAGACTCCAGTGTCCCCTAAGACATTAAAAAAATCGAGACGTGGAGGTCTCATCCTTAAATTGGTATCGACAGAAATAATTAAGATGATATTCCTTTGAACAATAAAATTTTAGCAATTGGGAGGAGTAAAATTACTCTCAACACTTTGACACTCTTTTCTTGTCTACACTATTTTAAGGTTCGGACGCCTAATCCACTTCTCAGGAGATGTACATGCATATAAGCTGTACTCCAGCTATTGGTGCTAATATTGGATCTGCAAATTCTTTAGGAAAGTGGCATGTTTCTTTGTTCTTGCCAGAAGCCTGTATGTTCTATTACATTCATAATACTGTTAGAGTGCTGGCAACAAGCCAAAGGGTTACAGGCATTGAATTCTCTTCAACAGTGTTTGTTTGTTTGTTTTTTTTTTTAAATCTCTATCCACTTTCCATTTCTCAACCATTTTGTGTTCAGCTGCTAAACTAAAATGTAAAAATATCTTAATTTTTCTGGGCAACTGTATTAAGGCCCTGTTCATGCTGCTGCATCTACATGAGCAAGGCTGTGTGCCCATGCAGAACCCCAATGAGAAGCCAATGAGATTCGGTGCAAGGTCAGCGCCCATATTACTAAGCAAGAAAATGAAGTCCACTAAATAATTCCTCATTTCCTGATAGTTCATGCAAGATCAATCGTGCTGGTGCAATTCTAGTTGTGGAGGTAAAATCCATATAAATAGCCCTAAGCTCGCAGTGATAATGTTTATGTGATTCAGTCTTCAAAAACACTTAAGAGATTTTATTGTAAGGATTCATTGTTACAAATTAACCACTTTTTCTTAGGCTTTATGAGATTTCTTTTCCTCTCTTGCAGGTCCCTGACCAGCTACAGATGTAAACACCAGTGTCCCCTGCTAATGTATTTTTTAATCATATGTAAATTGGAAAATCAGCAGCTCTCAATGCAGGTTCACTTTAGACCTCTGTCTTAAATAGAATTTAAGAAAAAGCATCTATATGAATTACAGTGCTAACCACTGGGATGTATTTGAAATGCTAGGCATGGATTACTGGCTGTGCACTTTCCCAGCATAATTTACAGCAGCTTAGGGCTACACTAATTTCATCCTGGCTATTAACTGCAGTGGGGGAATCACCGAGGTCCATGAAAGCCCAGTACCTTGACAGCCAGGAGAGGGGATGGTAGCATGGAATCCATTGTGGTAATTCTGTGTCTCTTGTACCAGTCCTCTGTGCTAGATTGATCCTCCTGTGGTTGGCTCCACCATCTTTCAGGCCTCTGTGCATCAGTGCAGTAATGCAAAGCAGCTCTAGTGCATCTGAGAAACAGGGCTTCTGACTTTCACAGCTTACAGCTAGCCCTGTAGGGACAGCTGTCATATCTGGGAATTGAACCTGGGTTTCCTGTGCGGTAGTGCTGGCTGGTTTAGGTACTGGGCAGGGTTAGTCAAAAGTTATGAGCTGTTGAAAAGTATTGGAAAGCTATTTCTCTCTTTGTTTTCTATATAATTGGTTTAATAACAGTTGGTTTGGGGAAAATATGCTCCTGATAGATTTATATTGAAACAGCTTCTATATGCATACCTTGGTATCCCTGGTCCTTTACAAATACAGCATAAACAATAGCTCATTTCTTAATCACAGGAGTGGGCCATAGCATGGAAAAATGCACTGTAACTTTGTCAGTGACTCAACCCTGCATGCATTGTTTGTTACTCACTGTTTGCACATTCAGATAAAGCTCAATAATACACAGCTGCAGCAGCTGTTATCAGTGTACACAGAGAATGTGAGTGTAGGCTGATCTGAATGATGTGATAGGGCGGACCAAGCAGGACAGTCATTGAAGCCAAACACCAGTAGAGTCAGAAGTCCAATTTGATTTGCATAAGCACCACAAAATTATCCAGATCTTTTTGGTTTAGAAATCTGATGGGACAGTTTAGGAGATAAAACTCCAGAACACCAGGGTTTCAGTCGAGTCAGACATCAAAGTGGCCTCTGATGAGTTTTCATGATCTCCACAAACCAGAAATCCAGAAAGCACAAAAATATAGTAAAAAGAAAAGGAGTACTTGTGGCACCTTAGCGACTCACATTTATTTGAGCATAAGCTTTTGTGAGCTACAGCTCACTGCATCCGCTGAAGTGAGCTGTAGCTCACGAAAGCTTATGCTCAAATAAATTTGTTAGTCTCTAAGGTGCCACAAGTACTCTTTTTCTTTTTGCGGATACAGACTAACACAGCTGCTACTCTCAAACCAAAAATATAGTGCTTGACTCAAGGAGTAGGGGAAGTTCTTCATCTATTCTTAGACTATGCTAGTCAGTTTGCTCATTTCTCACATGAAGAGCTATTAGGAATTTATAAGTGGCACCCTTCCTTTTGAGTCAGCACTGAACCAGTCCCAGCATGGAGCTAGAGCAGTGGTTCCCAAACTTGTTCCGCCGCTTGTGTAGGGAAAGCCCTTGGTGGACCGGGCCAGTTTGTTTACTTGCTGTGTCCGCAGGTTCGGCCTATCGCGGCTCCCAGTGGCCGTGGTTCGCTGCTCCAGGCCAATGGGAGCCGCTGGAAGCAGCGTGGGCTGAGGGACGTACTGGCCACTGCTTCCAGCAGCTCCCATTGGCCTGGAGCAGCGAGCTGCGATCCGCCGAACCTCCGGACGCGGCAGGTAAACAAACCAGCCTGGCCCGGCAGGGGCTTTCCCTGCGCAAGTGGCGGAACAAGTTTGGGAACCCCTGAGCTAGAGGATTATATGAGGGGAGGGGAGATTTCTAAAGTTTTATAATGGAGGACCTGACCATGGTGGTTAAAGATCCCATGCCACCTTTTGCAAATATAGGTATTGTTACTCTCTTTCAAATTCTAACCTTGGTAATAACACTGCCTCATGCGCTTTTGACTGCATAGATGCAGTATTGCCAAGTCGTGACATTTTATCACAAGGATCACAATATTTGGCATTTTTTTTTAAGCCCTAGACTCTGCAGTCAAGTGAATACACCAGAATCTAAGCGTTTTTTAAAAAGTAAGTTTCTAGTCCGCATGGTTATGGATATAGTTTTGAAAATGGGACCGTAAAGATGCAAATGTCAGAAGGCAAATAAAAATAGTCCAAATGTGTTATTTTTTTTAAATCTCACAATCTGTAAATCAATCTCATGATTTCTGAGGGCTGACTTATGATTTCTGAATGCTTGGGGTTGGCAATGCTGTGCATGATTCTAATCCTAAATTGTTGTGCAGTATTCCTTTTCTCTGTCGTACAGCTGCTGTTTCCCACTGCAGAGCTGACTCCTACATACTCAGAACAGTATTGTAAGCCCTAGTTAAGGAATGTTTATAAAATGCTTGGAGATTCTTGAATGGAAGTGCAAAGTATTATTACTATTTCGTTACTATTTCTGTTTTATTTTATTACACAGACAATTATGCAGGTGTAGAAAATGGACAGCATCCAAATATAATCAGAAAAAAATGAAAGTGAACTTCATTATTGGCCATTTATTTGTACTGTGCTGTTCATCCTAATCAAACTTATTTTTTCCACCTATGAAATGGTTTAGCATAATAAAAGAATAAGAATAAATACTGAAATGAGATTTAAAAAAATCACAGCATTGCAGCAAGCAGATAAATGATTCAACAACTGTGAATTTCAAGCAACATAGTCATGAGTAAGGCTGTGTGTCTGTCACGGAAGTCACGGATCCTGTGACTTTCCGTGACCTCTGTGACTTCTGCAGCAGCCCTACTGGTTCAGGGGCTGCCTGAGCCGCGCAGCCCCTGGGCCAGCAGCAGCAGTTTGGGTGCGGGAAGGGGCTCAGGGCTGGGACGGGGGTTGGGTTATGGGGAAGGGGGAGGTTATCTGGGGGGGGAGTCCCTGCCTCCTACTGGCATGTCCCAGCAGCTCCTAGGTGGAAGGGCCAGGGGGGCTCTGCGTGCTGCCTGTGCCCACAGGTGCCGCCCCTGCAGCTCCCATTGGCAGTGGTTCCCGGCCAATGGGAGCTGCGCCTGCAGAGCTAGCGCTTGTGGTGGGAGCAGCGCACGGAGCCCCCCTGGCTGCCCCTCTCCCTAGGAGCCACAGGGACATGCCGGTCAGAGCCAGGTAGGGAGCCTGCTAGCCCTGCCAATCTGACCCCCTCCCCAGCACCAGCAGAGGTCCCAGGCCACACACTGCCGCTTGCCTCCCCCCAGTACCAGCAGGGGCTACAGGCCACCTCCCAGCACCCACAGTGCCCCTGGCCCAGGTTTTAGTTAGGGGTATATAGTACAGTAAAAGTCATGGACAGGTCACAGGCTGTGAATTTTTGTTTACTGCCCATGACCTGTTCATGACTTTTATTAAAAATACCCATGACTAAAATGTAGCCTTAGTCATGAGCTATTTAAGGGGCCAATCCTGCAGTCAGATCCATGGGGTGGACCGTTGAACCTTTATGGAGTCTCAGTGGCTTCATTTGATTGCAGCATTGTGGACTCGAATATTAGTGGCCAACTAGGGTTATTTTGGCAGGATACTAGTAATACTATGCTGGTCTAGACAGTAAATCTGAGCCTTACTGTGGGTCTGGTTAATGTGAGTGTAGCGTGACTTTTAGGTCATATATGGCAATAGCATGGGATATAAAAATACATATTTGCCTTTCTCGTCTGTATTTTGAATCAACATAACCTTGTTTTATTTAGTAACTGAGCTACTGGACTGTCTTTAAAGACATCCGGGGTAGCAACAGGAAATACTGATTTTTTCAAAAATTGCATAAATGCATTGATCATTTTGACCTGGAGGTGAAAGGACTATTTAAAAATAAAACAAATGTAAGATATATATCGAACGAGTACTTCACAATAAAACGTGTGAAAAAAATCATGTTGCATTTTTTTTTTTAATATTGCAAATTCCTGTTGCTTTTGTAGATCTTCCTGGCGATTTGCCGTCTTTTTAAAGGGGCTGCCAAGCTCACTCTCAACGGTGCACGAGTGGCTCTGCATGTTGTGTGACGGGGCGCGGACAGGCAAACGCCTTGCAACTTTATATGGCCTTTTCCTGCTCTGCAGGTCTTGCACTCCGGAGCAGTTTTGTTTGAGTGTCACGCCGCCCAAGCTCAAAAGGGGCGAGAGTGCAGCGGAGAGGAAGGGCAATACATGGCAGGAAACCTCTTCCCGGGGGCACTTGTATCTGAACTAAGCCCCGGCGGCTCCCTGCCCCCGAGAGCTGTGGCCGGGGGTGGCATCGGTTTGCTTGGGAAAATTGCCGCCTGGGGGTGGGGGAGGGATCTGCTCGAGAGCCTGGCTCTGCGCTGAACTTTCCCCCTCCACGCGATTTCCAGGAACCGCCACCCCGCTGCTCTCCGAGAGTTTCACTTTCCCGCCCCAGGCCCGCCTCTCCCGCTGCCTGCGGAGCGGGTGCCCTGGGTGACTGAGCATGCTCGGTGCACCCCAAAGCGCACAGCCCTGGCCGGAGCAGTTTCCGACCCTCCACCGGCCATGGCGGACCTAGTGCGGGCGCCGTCCGTGCCCTCCCTGGCCGGGCTGGAAGAGGAGCTCACCTGCTCCATCTGCCTGAGCCTCTTCGAGAGCCCGGTCACCACGCCCTGCGGCCACAACTTCTGCGGGCCCTGCCTGGACGTCACCTGGAGCGGCCTCCTGGCGGGCTTCAGCTGCCCGCAGTGCCGGGCCAGCTTCCCGCGCCGGCCGGAGCTGCAGAAAAACACGGTGCTGTGCCGGGTGGTGGAGCAGTTCCAGAGCGCCCAGCCCGCGGGCCCGGCCGAGGAGAAGAAGGGCTGGGACGGGAGCCGCTCCGAGGTGGCCTGCGACAGCTGCCTGGAGGCCGCGGCGGCCAAGACCTGCCTCACCTGCATGGCCTCCTTCTGCCTGGAGCACCTGCGGCCGCACCAGGAGAGCCCGGCCTTCCGCGACCACCCGCTGTGCCCGCCCCTGCGCGACCTGCAGCGGAGGAAGTGCCAGGAGCACAACAAGCTGCTGGAGTTCTTCTGCCGGGAGCACGCCAGCTGCATCTGCTGCGTCTGCCTGGTCAGCCACCGGACCTGCCTCACCGGCCCGGTGCCGCAGGCCAAGGCGGAGAAGGAGGTGAGGAGGGCGAGGGGCCCCTGCCGGGGTGGGGGGGGGTGCGCGGACCGGCGCTGGCCCGGGCACTAGGCTGGGGTGGCGCCGCTGTCATCGGACCTCTTCCCGCCCCCTGGCCGTCCACAGCTATGGCCGCCAACCTTCCGGCCGCCGGGATCGCTTTTTGAATGGGAGGGTCCGCCCCGGCCCTTCCCCGAGGCCCCCGCTTCCTCCATCCCCAGCCTCTCCTTTGCTCGCTCACTGTCACCGGGCAGGGGCTCTCAGTGTGGGAGGGGGCGCTGGGCTGAGCCTGGGGCAGGAGGGGTGCCAGCTCTGGGAGGGAGTTTGGGTGCAGGAGAGGGCTCCGGGCTGGGGCAGAGTGTTGGGGGGCAGCAGGGGGCGTGGGGGGCAGAGTGTTGGGGGGCAGCAGGGGGCGTGGGGTGCTGGCTCTGAGAGGAGGGTCCGGGCTGGGGCAGAGTGTTGGGGGGCAGCAGGGGGCGTGGGGTGCTGGCTCTGAGAGGAGGGTCCGGGCTGGGGCAGAGTGTTGGGGGGCAGCAGGGGGCGTGGGGTGCTGGCTCTGAGAGGAGGGTCCGGGCTGGGGCAGAGTGTTGGGGGGCAGCAGGGGGCGTGGGGTGCTGGCTCCGGGAAGGGGTTGGGGTGCAGGTTCCCACCGGGCAGCACTTACCTTGGGTGGCTCCCAGTCGGCGGCACAGCAAGGCTAAGGCAGGCTCCCTGCCTGCTCCGCGGGGCCCCATGCTGCACCCAGAAGGAGCCAACATGCCCTGGGGGGTGGGGCGGGCATGAGACTCTGCCTGCTGCCCCTCTCTGCAAGTACTGCCCCTGCAGCTCTCATTGGCCAAAGCTCCCCATTCCTGGCCAATGGGAGCTGGGGGGCGGTGCTTGCGGGCAGGAGCAGCGTGCGGAGGGGAGACCCCTGCCCCCAGGGCTGCGGAGCGGCATGGGGCCGGGGCAGGCAGGGAGCCACGCTGCACTGCTGGAGATCCTCTAGGATCAACCAGGAGATCCTCTAGGATTGACTGGTTGGTGACCACTGGTCTACAGTGTGTCTCAACCTGTTTGATAGCAGGGACTGGTTTGCTGTCTTCCTAAACTGTGTTAGGGAGATCTCAGGGACTGAGGCCAGTCCACGGTCCGGTCATTGAGAAACATAGTCTTAGAACAGCAGTTCTCAGCCAGGGGTCTGGGGCCCCCTGGGGGACCACGAGCAGGGTTTGGGGTCGGGGAGGGCCCTGCCAAGCAGGGCAGGCATTAGACTCGCTGGGGCCCAGGGCAGAAAGTCGAAGCCCCGCCGTGTGGGGCAGAAGCCCGGGGCCCCTGAGTCCCACCACCGGGAGCTGAAGTTGAAGCCTGAACAACTTAGTGGTGTGGGAGCCCGGGCACTTGCCCTGCTTGCTACCCCCTGATGCTGGCCCTGGCTTTTATATGCAGGAAAGCCGTTGTTTTGGCACAGGAGGGCCATGGAATTTTCATAGCATGGGGCGGGCTCAGAAAGAAAAAGGATGAGACCCCCTGTCTTAGAAGATGCCCCTTGCACCCTTCTCAAGATCCTGGACGGCTGCCCCTACTACTGCTGAGGCGGCCTTAGGAGCAGCAGTCTGGGGTGGTAGTTAGGGAATTGCGGGCCCCAAAAGTGCCATCAGGACCATAGACCAGGTTAGTTTATAACAAAAAGACAGGCTCTGAAGGTCAGTTCCACTGCCTGTGAAATCTTTTTCTCTTCCTCTTTTAAGAGAACATTTTATGACATACCACGATACAGACCAGATTTTGGAGCCACTTGGGCACAAAAGGGAGTTTTCTGTGCATGAATCAGCTGGATAGTAATCTAGGCGTGGACTATTAAGGCCTTTTTTTTTTTTTTAAACTGTTCTGGGGGACATAGTGCTGCTTTAGAACTTGGCACAGGATGCCCCAGTCTGATATTCTCCGGTGCCAAAGATGCCCACGGTGGGCAGTCTGACCTCAGGCTTATAGGGAGTTATGTTAATATTTTTTAGCCAAGACTAGTGACTCTTTTTGAGTTGTAATAAGGGCTTTTTTTTGGAGAGGGAAAAGGCAGGAGGAAGCCAGATGTGAGCTGTGTGCAATGAGGTGGTGGTCTCAGGCTCATTCCTTGGTTGCCCATCTTATAACATCACCCGCAGACGTAGCATGAATTAGTACTGGCGTTGGACTGGCTGGGGGACAGGCCAAAGGAGTGAATAGGTAAGGGAAGTGGTTGCAATGGGGAAATGTTCTTTAATGGCTAAAGCAGACCTCCGTCTCCAGAGCAGCTAGGTCTGTCCTTGCTGCTGCTGTTGCATATACTTGTTGGGTAGCCACTCTGACTCTTTCCTGGGGGGAAATATCTTTCACAGTGACTGCCCTCTTTGTAATTTTCTTTAAACTGCTTTTCAGAGGAAAGAGGGGAAAGATAAACAAAAGATTTATAGCTGACGGTGTGGAAAGAAGTCAATATCAGAGGAGCCATGTACCTCAAACTATCACAGCTATTGCACATCCAGAAAGCCAGTTCACCTACTCTTTAAAATCCCTGGGGTGAAATCCTGGGCCCAATAAGCTCTCTCAGACTTTAGTCATGGACATCAAAGGGGTCAGCATTTTACCCTAGGATTGGGCCCATTGTAGTAAGCACCACGCACAGTTGTAAATGTGTTTGCAGGATTGGAAACTTAGCCCTGATGCCCATTGAAACCAATGGAAGGGTTTCCCAAGTATTTCAATGGACACTGGCCTTAGGCCCCTGATCCTGCAGTCCTACACAGCTAAAGCCCCACCAATGTCAGCGTGAGATTTGCTGGCGTAGGATTGAATGCTTGAGCCTTACAGTGGCTTTCAGGTTCATGTTTGCTTGTTTTGGGGGAGCTATTGCAGACCTTGCCAACATCCATGGTGGCTTAGCCTTTGTCACATGGGGACGCAGCGGAGTAGTGAAGTTCCATTGTTTTTATCACCATTGTACTGTGTGTACTAAGGCTGCCTACAATGATCCAATTGCAGATCCACAAACTCTTGCATCATGCAGAGATGCCTGTGGGGCTTCAGTGTGGCTCTGAGTGGGCCTGCACAGATAGGATGGGGGAGGGGTGTCTGTGGACTCCGTTCTGACCACAGGTGCACACCTGCAGCTTTTGAACCCGTTGACAACAGTCCAGTGAATTATGAAGAACTAGTGCCAGTGGTGAGCTCTTAATTCTTCAGATTTACAGCCATTAGAGCTAGTCAGATCTAGATAGAGGGCCTGAGCAAGTAAGGAGCTGAGCACCTTCCGCTCCCTGTGACTTAAAAGGGAGTGGGTGCTCCGAGGTTCACAGAAATGGGTCCTAAATATTCTTCAAGTGGCGGAATCTGTGTGTAGTAGACCAGGAAAGTAGCCTTCGCAAGGTGGTTTTAAGAGGGATGAAAGTGTGAGGAGTTGAGGAATCACATAGCTTATTAAGGGCCCAGTCTTACAAGCCTTTGTGCTTAAGACGTCCATTGATTTCCATGTGAGATGTTCAAGCTCTGCAATTTAGGTTCTAGCCATAAACATGTTTATGCACAAACACCTCTGTGACTCCCAGGCATAGCTAGTGTGATGTTGAGGCCCAGTGGGCCACTGGAGTGGAAGTCAGCACAACCTGGGTTCTATTCTTGGCTCTGCCACTGGCCTGCTGAGTGACCTTGGGCACGTCGCTTCACCTTTGTTGCTCAAATTTACTCTCTGTAAAATGAGGAGAACGACACTTGCCTCCTTTTGCTTCAGCCTTTTAAGAACTTCAGCTGAAAAGTCTTCTGCACAGGCTGGGTGGTGGTGGTCGAAGAAACATGCTCTGGCTGGGAAATCTGATGGTGAAAACAAATGTGCTTCCCCAGGTAGCTCAATTTGAACCGTTAGTGAGACGTATTGAATTCATATAACAAACCTTTCTCATCCTGCCCAAACTGTATTGCTGTGTGTGTGTACAAAGTAGAACCTAAACACGGTTGGGCAGGGCTTCTTAGCAACACACTGGAGAGAAACTGAGCCAAGATAATAGAACATTGGGTAGGCCAATCTGAAGGCCTATTTTTTGGATCTGGGGTACCTATTTAGGGTGGAGTTAGGTTAAAATTATGTTAAGGTTCATTCTTAAACCCACAAGAGCCAGGAAGGCTGCTGTGATAAGAGTGCTCTGACAGAGGTGCTGTGATAGGAGTACTGCCTTGGTAGACTCATGTCATTGTTACAGGACTGTGTGTGCGTCACAACTCGGAAAAGATGGTGCTGCATCAGTGGTGCTTGCTCACCGTCCCAACTGTGTACAGAGATTGTTTTTATTTGTTTGTACAGTTAAGGAACAATGGATTTAAAAAAAAAATCCAGTGTTGGTGATAAAGGTTGATTAAAACTAACCTTTTAATTTGCTTTTCACTATTTATATGGTGCATATTGGGAAGAGGTGCAGTATCCACGCTTTTAATTTGGGGTCTGATCTGTTTTGTTGCAGTCACAGCTAAAGAACAGACTGACGGAGCTGTATAGTCAGAGTGAAAAAGCTTCTCTGGCACTGGATGAAGTGAGGGTGCTGCAAAGACAAACCAGTGTAAGTGGATAGCCCTTGTTTAAAAATGGCTCTTGTTCTGCTATTGAGGTTATGCTAGCCACTGGGATCCTGGCTTCTTGTATTTGGCTCCTGATAAGGTGCTGTAATACTCAGATAAGAATGACTTTTAAGCGAACACCCTGTGACGTACCAGGGTACAATCCAGAGTAATGAGCAGCTGTGTCACCCCTGCCCTGCAACCTTGGGTGCCTTATAATACCTTCCTGAAGGAGCTCCCACCTGGGATACAGGAACACCTCACTTAATGTTGTAGTTATGTTCCTGAAAAATGCGACTTTAAGTGAAACGATGTTAAGCGAATCCAATTTCCACATAAGACTTAATGTAAATGTGGGGGTTAGGTTCCAGGGAATTTTTTTTCACCAGACAAAAGACTATATTATATATATATCTATATACACACACCATATAAGTTTTAAACAAATGATTTAATACTGGTACAGAGCGATGATGATTGTGAAGCTTGGTTGAGGTGGAGGAGTCAGAGGGTGGGATATTTCCCAGGGAATGCCTTCCTGCTAAATGATGAACTAGCAATTGGCTGAGCCCCCAAGGGTGAACTCTCACTCTCAACAAGGCAGCAGGAAAGGAGGGAGGGCAGACAGAGACAGAGGCACACCCTGTTTGTGTTTGAGAGAGAGATGCGCATTTCCCCTTTAAGTATGAAGAGTGGGGTCAGAAGTACACTGCCTTGTTAATTAGATCAGCAAGCTGAGACCAGACTGCAGCTGCTGCTTAAGGCAGCAGCTCCCTCCCTCCATGTGTTCCCTCAGTTCTATGGGAGATGGGGTAAGCGGGGTGCAGGAGCAGGGGGACACCCTGACATTAGCCCCCCTCTTCATCCCTTCCCCCTCCCCCCCCCACAGCAAGCAGGAGTCTCAGGAAGCAGCTCCAAGGCAGAGGGCAGGAGCAGCACATGGCAGTGGGGGGAGGGACAGCTGAACTGCCAGCAGTTGATAGCCTGCTGGGTGGCTGCTGCACAGGGAACTTAGGGGGAGCTGACAGGGGGGCTGCCGGTCCACCCTGGTTCCAACCACCCACCAGCTCGCTGCAACGGACTGCTCTTCCTGCAAGCAGTGGACAAATCAGGTGGCTGCCAGATGAGCATGTTCCCTAATTGATCAGCAATGTAACAAGGTTAACCAGGCCGACTTTAAGTGAGGAGTTCCTG